AGGGAGGGAAATGCACGGGACTATGGTGGTGGCACAGGGGTGATTTGGTGATGGGAAACCCGTGGGGATTACAATTGAGATGAAAAAAAAAAAAGTGCAAAATGATGTAAAAATAAACTTTTTAATAAAAAAAAATGTGAAAAAAAAAATTGTTAATGACAACACTCATTACAAACCTTAACCTCACTTACAGCCACCTGCTAAGATTAGATTTCTTGCCATCAATGACATACAAGACTGTAAGCCTTAAACCACTTTAGTGACGTCACTTTACATAGACACAAAAAACTATACCAACAGAAAAATAAGAATCAAAAGTCCTATTTTTCTTAAGACACAATGACTATAACAAAAATGCACCAATAGTATCAGGTTAAACACAGTTAACTTAAAATTTATCCAATTTAGGGCCTCCCTGGTAGCACAGAGGTTAAAGTCACAGTGCTATTAAGCTAATGCCAGCTGCTGAGGCAGGAGTTCAATCCCCAGCCATGGATCTGCCTGTTCGGCTCTTCATTCTGTCTCTGGTGAACCTTTCACACCTGCCCACGGCACCTCTGGCCTACACCCCTGTTATTGTATGCATCAATAAATAAAATAAATCTTAAAAAAGAAATTATCCAATTTAAAATAGGGTTTATCTTTAACCAGATCTGGATAAACTATCCTCAGTTTCATCTTTATTTAAAAACACAGAAGTAAACCCCACACGCTAGCGCTTAGTGCTCCTCAACTCAATCAGCATTCATTTTAAGCCTACTATGTATCAGGAACTGTGTTTTCGAGTAATGAACTGCCTCCTCCCACCGGAATGTCAGCTCAGTGGGTGAAGCGCTCCGCTGGTCTGCTGCAGTGTGCCTACTGCGCGCAACAGTCCCGAGCCCAGCTGGTGCTCAGTGAGTACCCAAAGCTCAGTGACTGAGAAGACACAGAAATGTGTAAAATAAACTTCCACCTTTCTCATATGTAACAGTAAGATAGACAAATAACTCTCTACAGCAGCATGATCAAGTACAACAAAAGGAACAGTTAATACTTGGAAAAGCAGAAATACTATGTAATAAAAAGTTAAAGTAAAAACTACATACAATAAAATTATTAAAACTGGATTATTATTCTTAAGCTAACCACCCTTCTGGGTCTTAGTTTTCACACTCCAAAATAAAATGGTTGTATAAAATAAATCTTATAAACAAATGTGATGTACAATCATTTCACCATTCATATTCAGAAATAAAACGGTTCTTACACTATTCAGCATAGACTGCTGGCTTGGTCTCAGAGGTGTGTTGGGGACACTTTTGGATCCTCCTCCAAGCCACCCGGTCATCCACCTGGTAACAATGCCCTGGTCTTCATTAAACAGCTGCAAGTTTATTATAAAACAAAATCATCAATATAAGAAAAGATAAAAATAACATGGTTTCAGGTAGCAACAAGCCATGTTTTTCAAGTCTAATTTCCAGTAAATGTTTCCTGCCGACTGAGGCCTACTAATACAATCAACATGTCATGCCTGGCAGTATCATACCTCAAATTTCAGCATTCTCAAGTGAGAGGGGGATTACAGATTACAAAATACTTTTTAAAGTATACAAATTGAAAAAATTCACCTCTTCACAGATTCCATTTCCACAATGAAAAAGTTATATACTCAGGCAAAGTTACAAACAATAGTAGTAACACTGTCCTCTGAGACCACTGTTTTTTTTTATAAACAATATTGCAAATGACTTTCATCACTCAGTTACCTGCTCCATTTCCTCCCTTTTGATACCCAGGATGCTTCCCATTAGTCGTAAAACTTCATGACGCTGATTTTTTGGTGTATGGAAATGTCCGATGAAGAGGTTTCTCATTAAAACCCTATGAAATTGAAAGTGGAAACAGTTCAAATTATTTCAATACTAAGGGGCTCAACAATAAACACTGAACATACAGTTATACTTAATTATCAAAAACATTTATTTTATAGTAACTTTATTAAATCATTGATAAGTCTAATTAAGACAATTTCAAACAACTCATAATATACACATTAAAAAATATTACTTATTAATCACTGACTTTCTTCAACCAAAAAATTTATCAGTCAATATAATCGCTCATTAAGAGTAATTCTCATTGCCTATCTGGGTAGATGTCCATCTTAAAGAGACACTCCAGATCTTTCCATTCCCACCATAAACAGTGATGACAGTTCTTATGTTTAATAGTTATGTTTATACTTCCCCATTCATGTTTATAAAAATTTGTTTAAACTTTTCAAATATTATTACATATCTATCTCTCTAGTTTCAACCTAATATATGTGAGCAAATTATGTTCATTTAAGGACAGTAAAGAAAATTAAAAAGAATGCTAAGAGTAAATGTTTTGTTTTCTGATACTTCATACTGTGGCTGTTCTGACTCTTCCATGTGTTTTAAGATAAAGAATTTGAGCTGGAAAAATCTATTTAAAAGCCCAAGAAAAGAGTTGCTATTCTACCCACCCTTCATTAAACTACCTACAACTCAACACCATGTAAAGAAAAGGGTAGCATAGGGCGATCTGGTGACCAGGCCCTTCTGCAGTTTCTTCTCTCCAGTTCCCTCTGCAGCCCCTGGCCCGTGCTCCGTTAAGTGTGGGACTGCACCAAGGTGGTAGAGTGTCAGGAGGGGCTCACGTGAGTGCCAAGAAGAACCAGAGATTATCACAAGGCAGGAGGAAAATTCACCATCACCACTGCCAGAAATAGTGATTAATAGTCTTGTCCTTTTCTTGAATTCCCAACTTAAGAAAATTCATACTCTATCTTATAGGGGCATTTATTCCTGAAACTTGGCAGAATTCCTCAGGCTTAACCTGCTGGCCTCAAGAACAGTGGGCAGAGCTGCCTTGCCTTCTAGCTCCTTGTTACTGTAGTAATTGGCTTTATGCACTTTTTTTGAATAAACATGATGAGTACCACTCCAGTGCAACTCCATTCATACAATCCCAGATAACTATGCTAAAAATCAACAGAAGAAATACCGTCCCACCACTAAGAGATACTCCGATTAGTGAAGCAAACCAAATGCTCTTTCTTGCAGCCAAACTGAATTATATGTAGACTAACACCAGCAACTGTAAGATTTTGATGTAATTTTGGGACATTTATTTTGAATCTTACTAGTAACTGAGCACTGAAATGTAAAGAAGTTGAGCTTCTTTTAGATTAAGTTTACTTGTTGTTTTAAATGTTCTCAAATATTAGTCATTAATGGACAGAACAAAATGCTACTTTACTCTTTTAAGTATACACACACACACACATCTACAGGTAGAAGTAGTTTTTACTATAAAAATAACTCCACAAAATACACAGACGTGAAAAGACAGAACATACTTGTCTACTTTTCCTTCTGTACTGTTTACTAAATTCATCAATTTCTTTTGTACATCATCCAGCATTTCTTGTCGAAGTGCATCTGTTTTAAAACATGAATAAAGATAGTCATTAACTGATTAAAATAGTGTGAATTACTATATCATACTGATGTTACCTTTACCATGAAGTCTAGCAATAGGCACTTGCGCTTATTAGGAATATTCAATTACTCCCATCTCTCCTTTAATTCTGGGAAATAGAAATTCTGATACAGAAATTACCTATATGCCAGAAATTAATTCACATGCTTTGCTCCCAAAAGAATAATCAAATCCTTAACAAGAAACTTAACCCCTCTCCCCTGCCCCCCAAAATTTCACGCTCTTCAGAGAAAACAGCAAAAAAGAGATTTTCACCACTGCATCCTTGCATGAAATACTTCCAGACCCACCCTTTAATGGAAAGAAACAGAAAGGACAATTTACATTCCCTTTATCCATTTTCCTGGCTGGTTTCTGATTTTTGTGAACTAACAAGAGTATCTAACACAATTAAGACCATGGCTCAGGATGCAGTAAACGGCAAAGTATTCTGGGGTGACTAAATTCCAAAATGCAATTCAGATCACTGGCTCTAAAGTACCAACCACAACAGAGTATGACTTAGACATTACTGTGTTTATACTACTTTATTTTAAAACTCCTTTAAAAGGAAGCAAAATCTGTGAAATATTCGAATAGTTGGAATTTGAGACATTTTAAGTTTTTATAAAATCTAAAATCACAACAAATTTCGTGGAACTCTCAGGCACATCCATGAACTTCGCACCTGTTACTTCAGAAACTGAAGTTTGAGCTGCAAGAGAGGCTACATATTTTGTTCTGAAGGAAATGGAGAGGAGATGCTGTGCAACGGAGCTGCTTTCAGATCAAGGAACCCTCACCCCAACTGTACTCTACCGAACTTCTTTCCACAAACCTATTCATGCTGCCTTCTCCCAGTAATAGCAGGCTATAATTCCCTTCCCAAATTACTTGCAAATATTCTCTCCTATTCTGTGGGTTGTCCTTTTTCTATTTTTTGATGGTAGCCACTGAAACACAAAACTTCTGAATTTTGATAAAGTCCAGTTTATTTCTTCTCTTGTTGCCGGCGCTCTCAGTGTCATGTCTAAGGAACCACTGCTTAATTCAACATCACAAAGACTTACTCATAGAAGTTTTACAGTTTTAACTCTACAATTTAGGACTATGATCCATTTTAGCTTTTGTGGGGGGGGTGAGGAAGGGTTCCAGTTCTGTTCTTATGCACTGGATACCCAGTGAGTTTCAGCACCATATAATGAAAAACTGTTCCTGAACAACTGTCCCTATTGAAAATCAACTGACCATAAATAAATGGTTTATTCCTGGACTCTCAATTCCCAATGCAAGACTTCACTTACAAATGTTTTTTTCTTCTGTATGGAAAATTCGTTTCCATCTCCTAACAGCTGCCCATTAACAATTCCCATTTACTCTTCATATTTCAGCTCCTTGGTACTTCCTCAAAGAAGTTTTCTGTGAGCCATATAGAGTATGCCAGGTCTGTCTGTTTGGTTTCCATTCTGCTTTGTGTGTTGTCTAGAATCCTAATTTAAAATACTAAATGTGTACACAAAATGCCCCGTTTAACTACTGCAATTGCTTGTGGTTGTTCTAAATCTTAAAAATTTAAATTGCAAAGTGCAATTCATCTAATAGGCTAACTTTACCAAAACAGAAATGGTTGCCATAACCATATTATAAAAGCAAGGTTTGTGTTTGGAAAATCTACTATAAATGTTTCCTTTCCTGTCTTTCCAGTGGAATTTAAGCTTGGACATGACATTAAAAAAATTTTTTTTTAAATGAAAGAGAAGAAACAAGATTATTTTTATTAAAGGTCGAAGTCAGGAAGACACATTTTATATTCTTTATGTGCATATATATAGCATGACACAGGGTATTGCTTGGGCCTTCCCAAGAATGTACTACATTCTGCATATAAATAGAACTCTCAATTATTCAGAAGAATAGCAAGTGAGTCCATCTCCTTTTGATGTTCTGAATTAACCAACTCACTCGTGAGTAAAAGTCGGAGAAAGGAGGAGCAAGGCCTTTTCTTCCTCTTCTTCCACCCACTCCATTACTACCAAAAGGAAACGGAGAACAGCTCCAGGTTGCACTACCCAGCCTCCCCTTATTCTGAGATAGCCCTTCATTTATCTGTCATCTTCTACAATGAATGATTTTTGACCTAGATTACATGTCGAAATAATAAAATTCTGTGTATATTATTAAAATTAATTTTATTTAAATATGGCTACTAAGAAATTTAAAGTGTGCAGGTGACTTGGACTTTATTTTTGTTGGTTAGTACTACTCTGGTATCTAACCAAGCTATTGCCACTTATCCTGTCCCTTAAATAAAAAAGACAATACTGAATGACAATTCTTAGGGTAATAGTCACAAAATAGAATTCACTCAGATAAAATGATTTTAATGAAATAAATCAGAAAAATTTAATAGCACTATGCGAAAAACTCAGCAAGAAGTCTGTCTTTAAAAAGTTCAAGTCAAAAGGGGCCTCCTTGGTGGTACAATGGGCTAAATAAAGTAAAGCACCGAATTATGAGGCAGTCAGCAGCCCCTGCAGCACAAGTTCTATTCCCAGCTGGCCAGGGAGGTGGCCACATGGTGCGGCAGACCTCTCCTGTCTCATCTGCTGCGCCCTCAGCAGTGTATTTCAGTAAAAATCTGCCTGTTCTGCTCCCCACTCTGTCTCTGATGAATCCTCTCATTCCCCCATACCTCTGGTCTGTACCCAGTTCTTGTATGCATAACAATTAAAAAAAGTTTAAGTCAAAATATTTTCTTTAAGACAGTTCATTATTATTGGGATACTGATTAAAATCTATCTCGCAAGGTAGGATTAAAATAACTGTGTTAAAATTTCTAAACTATCAGAACATATAGTTAATTGGAACTGACAAACTCCACCTACCCCTGCAAGCGTACAGAGGGCTAGTTCAAATTTAATGGTAGTTTAAGTCTAAGTGTGATAATGGAGTCCAGAGGGAAAAAGGTGCTCAGAATCTGGGGGAGAGGTTTAAAAGGATATTAACCAGGAGAGGGGAAATGTCAAATACTGAGTTCAAAGCTCCCTACAGATTTCTTTTTTCTCTAGGCACCTTATTTTCTCCCATCATAGATAACAAGTATTTTTCCATAGAAACAAGATTAACTCAAATCACAATTTGAAATTAGAACTGTATGTACATGGGCAGGAAAATTCATTATTCAGAAATGAGTTTTATGCTAAATATAATACCTCTATGAAATAATCTAACATGCCAAAATACTTCTGGAATTTGAAGACAATAGATGGGAGTGGAGGAGTTGGGTTTATTTGAAGTTGAGTAATTAAGGAGCTGAGATCTAGCCTAGTTTGGAGGAAGAGCTACTAGAAATATATTACATCCTAAAACCTGTCATATCAGAGCCCCGTCTATAGGACCAGAGAGAAGGTGGCATAGTCTTCAACACTGATTTAAAATAAAAATTGAATATGAAATGTAACTGATTCCAAGTCAGCACATACAATTTTACATTTCATTTGTGATTAGTAACATTGCACTGTAACACAGATGTCTTCACAGAACATTATAAAATTAATCTACTTTTCTTACAAAGTGATTTGGCTATTTCATAATTCAGGTCCCTTAGAAAGAAACTCAACTGAAACGCCATCTAAGTAGAATTGTCACCTGAATGAGATAAGATTGGTTGGCGCAGGACTTTAGGGTCAGAAGACCTGACCAGCCACAGACCTGGATATGAATCATGCTCCTGTCACCAGAGTGAGACTTTACTTCCCATATCTCAAAGGATTTTTGAGAGAACCTGCCGAACAATTAAACATGGGTGTTCTATCTAGTCAAGTGCTCCTATACGAAGCACTAGTGCTCATTCATCTGATTTCTTAAAGTAACTAAGACTTCAACTTTCAACCTGGTCCTAACCAATATCAAATACCACATTGGTCAACGTTTTCCCTTACTTGCCATCTCTATAATAGAAGGCAAAGGAGTTAACAGAAGGAAAGAAAAATGTTCTAGGTGATTTATTTTATAGCTGTATCAGCAATTAAGTTGAATTACTGTATGATGTGCACTGGCTGCCTTAAAGGTAAATTTAAATCTATACATTAAACCTAACATAAGTAATTTTAGGCTATTTTGTTAAATGTAATCAAAACAAGCTAGAAATTAGTGGTCTTTTATGAGGTCTGCCACACCATGTGGGTCACCTCCGAGGCAAGGGATCGAACTTGCACTGAAGTGGCTGTGGCTGGTTGCAGTGCTGCCCTCTAACCCATTGTGCCACCAGGGAGGGGCCCCTAACAACATTACCTTTTAACTCAATTCTTTTCAACTATATTAGAATTTAAAGGTCCACAGTATATATGGTAAATGCTTTCTTATTTCATAGGTAAAGTAATTTGTGAAATTCCATTTCCTAGCAATGAACTTTCAGGAAAAGAGAACATTACTTGAGTATAGCTTTATTAACTTAAATTTTACTAGATCAGAATTTGTGATAAAGCTGAGTTAGGCTGAGGTCTGCTGGATACTTTTCTAGTTAAACTACAGTGGCTGTGGCATTTGAAAGACATGTCATGTAAGTATTTTAATGTAATCAGGTCAGGTAAATTTTCCCTATTCTTCCTCCCTCATTGCCTTGTATGAATTCTAATAATTTGTAATGCATTTTTTCCATTATTTAAAGAAAAATTGTTAAAAAGACTGAACATCATAAATCAAGTTATATGTTTTATTTTAAAAGGTAAATAGACCAACCATATTCTAAAAGGTGTGATTTTGTCAATGACAATAATTATTGACACTGAATATCACTGTAAAAAAACCAATGACAGGGCCTCCCTGGTGGCGCAGTTGGTTGAAAGCATAGCACTAAGACAGTAAGGCCACTTCCTCATGAGTTTTGATCCTCACCCCGGAAGTGACCCACATGGCATGGCAGACCTCTCCTGACTCCCCACTGCTCCCCTCAGCAGTG